TTTTGAAGATTTGGATTACTGAAACTGCTGGAATGTTGAAGTTCATCAAGTCTTCAAGTCTCACAGCCAAGCAGCACTTTAACCAATCTTATCTCCAGGAATCAGGACTGTTCTCTTTGTAAAAAGTTCAAGAGTAAATAAAAGGCAAGTATGTTTTCTTGACCTCAGCCAAGAGAGAAATATTAGCTCTACATATTAACTCTGGTTAGAGACATATGTACATACAGACCCTGCATACATACAGAGCAGTTCAGAAGGCTTACAGCCCTTTGTTTTATATTAGAGTCTTGCCAGTCACAAGAAGAATTTCTTCAGGTCACCCAGACCACAAGAAACAAGTTTGTATCCTGAAGCTCATAAAAAATACGGCCTCCTCCAAAATCTCTCTCCATAACCAAATCATTTCAGTGAAGACTAGCAGCAGCTACACAATCTCATGCTGAGGTGTGGGTGCCACTTCACAGTGAATTCTGTTAACAATGCCTGCTATCTTGTTGGACTGATGATATCAGCAAATGATGAGATTTCTTCTGCCCAAGGGGGTAAGAAAATATCTATTCCATTGAACTTTAAAAGGCAGACCTGTCAAAGGGCAAGTCCCTGGGGCAGACAGACTGGACAGCAATAACATCCAGTGTCAGCTTACTGGGACAAGGATACGACCTAACTCCAAATCAGTAGAGAGCAGGTGGCTAGATCAAATTCTTCCCCATTACCAATTCACTGGAAATAAGCTCCATAAAAACTGCTCCTCCAAGAGTACATCATATAAAATCTATTTGCAACAAATACTGATCAGATTGACAACACAGCTGCAGCTACTTCGATAACCTATTAGATAAGGTCCCTCAGTGCTGCCCTTAGGAATCCCAACAATGTCTTCAATGTCCAAAATAAAACCCCAACTACCTGTTCAGTTGGTCCATCCACAAGATGACTTACTGAACTCATACACAACAATAATTGTGCAAAGGGAGCATTTCTAGTGATCTGTATCTCCTTTAAATACACTTCCAAATCAGACCACATTTCTATATTGCTTTGTGATGAATGGTTAGTCCAAGATTATACAGTGGATTAAAAAAAACAAACAAACCAAAACCAACCAAACATCCAGAAGCTACAATGCTGATTAACAGTCTGCCCTATCACCTTCCACACTTACCTTTACCTTCTGGTACATTCAAGCAAACATATTTCTCCAGGCTCACAAACATACTATCAAGAGTCACAGACTTTCAATGCAGGTCCAGTTGGCAGCCTCAAATTAGAGGCTCCCTACACAACTAGCTACCTCAAATCTGTATCTTCTACTTCTTCTCAACACTGAACTCTTCAGGAAACATACCAAGAAAAGACATTTTGTAACCATAAACAAATCATAGGTAAGTCCAAATCTTGGTGCAGTCTAATACTACTATCAGAGAGATTTTTGTCAGCAATAGTGTAATCCAATGAATTATTTTACAAATTTTAAATTAAAACCACCTGGATTCTCATCTGTGCTGTATTACAAGCTACAAGCTCAGATATACAAATAAATAACTATTAAGTCAGAATTTGTATCACACACTAATTGATTTATGGTAACTTAGTTGGTAGCCACCACAAGGTAATTAGAGCTGGTTTAGTCCTCTTCCACTGTCAGTAACAGGCGTCTTCTTATTTAGTGAAGACTAAACCAGCTCAACTTAAGTCCTGTGTATGGTGGGTTAAGATCATGCACAGAGACAGTTACCATCAGCAGAGGAGCAATAGCTTATTGCTTCATACTAATTTGCTTGAATGTTTGGGGCCACACTCTGTCATTCACTTATCTTTGCATCTGTTTCCTCATTAATAAATTAAACTTAATCCTTCTTTCCTCTTGTCAGTCAGTTGATTGTTCTCAGTATTCACAAGGGCTCTGTGTTGTTATTATACATGCAGTTGAATTACTACACATACTAGTGCTTACTAGTCAATTGTACCACAGTATTAAAAACAAAAGTTGTAAATTCTGGCCAAACTTGTAAAATACAAAAGTCATTTAAAAATAATGTAGATAAATCATTCTTTCACAATTCCATGAAAACTGGTCTATTATAACATGAAAAAATCCCTACTGAACCTTTTAAAAACAAGAGAAAAATAAGCCATCTGATGAATATTAGCTGACAGTGGATACTGATAAATTTAAGAAAATTACTATTTGTATCTCACAATTTAATAATATTTGGCTTAGTCATAATTTTGCTATTCTTCATAAAGATATAATGAAATGTTTCTCAGCTCTTGTCCATCCACTCCAAGAAACAAACAACCTGTGCTGAAAGGATTTAAGAGGGTCATTTCGTCATGAAAAGGTCAGAAAGAAGTAACAAGGTACTGGCAACTGCAGCAGCTTGCGGCTCAGACAGGGGAATTTCTTGCTTTCTTTACTACTTGATACAGGCTGATTCTGCTATTCTAATTTCATATCATTATTTTTAGCTGCATTTAACTATAGAAGACTACTTAATTAAAAATGTATTAAGAAGCCAATATGACTAGACGATGTCAGATACAGGTCTGTATTTGCATGTCATATTACTTCTTGCCTGTACAGGTTTTCAGGTGCAAAGTGCAATAATAAGAAATGAATATTTTATTTATTAAATGAATATTTTATTTATTTATGAATTTTATTGCATAAAACAAATTAGGTGAATGTAACATTTGTGTAAATGCTCAATCTCTGCATGAGATTCTAGCTGGTTTTGAAAAGACAGTTAATGACTGCCATGACTCCATAACAGTTTACCAGCTGCACAGATGGCTGGCTACTAGTACAGCCACTGACTAGTGATGGTAGTAGCCAAACTGCTCTTACAGATTAATTCTCATTAATATTGCCTGAAAATATGTTTGCAATATTTTATATACATGGTGTTAAATTAAAAAAGTGATCACGTCTTCTGAAATTGCAGCATGTTCCTACACTGTGTCTTGGAAAACGCTTGGCACTATTAAAAACCTTCTGATAACTGAAGTGCCTTAATATGAACTTTTAATTGTCTAAAATCACACTCTGATTATTTTAAAAGTTAAAATTTCACTGATGATTAGTGCTGCTTTCTGTTAGCAGAAACAGAAATTAATGCCTTTGACATGAATATTCATTATTTTTGTTCTTGTTTTAATTTAGTATGCACATTAGTATGGATATAACTTAGAGGCTTGTCATGTTTTAATCAGATGATGTCCAGCAGTCCCTTCCAGCCTAAACCATTGCATGTTCCTATGGTAGCCAATGGCAATAGAAGAGGGGAACAGTTAATTAAATGTACAAGACTGTACAAGAACAAGAGTTGACTAACTCTTCCAGTAGGGGGAGATGTCCTTTTAAAGTTTATCAGCAATTAAAAAGTGCTAACCCATTTACCCCTGTACCTTTCTTTTTTAACAAAATCAGACTCATAAGAGAAATTAGTACATGTGCCTTAGTAGCAATACTCTCCAAAAGACAGCTGTATCAAAATCAGAAAAAAATACAAAATTCACAGCAAATGGCTGTAAGAGAAGAACACACTGATGATGGAGCAAGCTGTGCTGACAGCCATCAAAACCAAAAAGGCCTTATTCCCTTTCAAAACCAAAGTCTCTCCAACAGCAACGTTTTTTCACCCACACAATAAATGTCATTTTTAGATGCCAAAGATGCTATAAATATCATAGAGGAAGACGGAAAAAAGCATTAAATTTTTCAATTTAACAATACGAATTAAATATTCAAAAATAAAAAATAAAAATTAACTATATTGCCTGAAATGCTCCCTATATCTCAAAACAAAATCTGAGCTGTGTTTTTCTCCTTATTCTAAATTTCTTTTAAAAAGTTTAATGTCAGAAGTAATACTGTCTCCTGTCACACTATAATTCTATTCTCCTCCTTAAGCAGTTTTCTTTTACAAACCTTCCTGAGAATCAGGGAGGTTCCTGAGCGGTGCAGGTTACCATCTATTTTCTATGAATGCAGCTCACTGTCCATTATCTTGCAGTTCACCATTCTTCCAGTTGTGCCACTGCAACTGTGGATGATGACATAAATCAGATCTCTGAAATTTTTACTATTTTTACTATTCTGACCTGAGTAAAAATAGAATAATCTCACTCTTGCCTTCCTCTCAGAACAATTAGCTTTTGACTCAGATCATTAGTATGATCCCCTTCAATAAAACAGCACTTGCACCAGTACAGATGAAGGTGCAGTGAACTGGGAACACATCTAGAAGAACACCTTAATCTGGCTTTGTTACCACAGAAATGTCTGGGAAATGACACCACAGGGCATTTTTAAAGCAATCATGGTAGAAGTAGAAATTCTGTTTATTAAAAAAGGCTGGGATTTATCACTGGTATATTTAGATGTTTATATGTCTGAGTCATTCCTGAAGACTCCTTTTACAGTCTGTAGCAAAATCTGAACCCAAACAGGTAGAATGTGGGACTTTATATGCAAGTTTCCAAACCGACTGAGATGAATATGGGATGACAGGTGTCTGTTTCAACTAGATGAACAATTCAGATACAAGCATGTACAGTAGAGGGATATGAATTTGATGACCTGATTCTTCCCTAGTCTGCCTAAATGGAGGTGAGTTAAACAAAGCCTCCTGGCATCTCTTCTGCAACACTTTTCATTGGTACAGTCAGAACAACTTGGGAAAGAATAACATTATTTTCCCCATTTTAGGCACAGGAAAACAAGGTACTAGTAGGTTTGCCAAAGTCAGACAGCAGCTTTTGCCAGAATCAGGAAAAAAATGCAAAACAGTCTGGATTTCTAGCTGCTAGTTGCTAGTCTTGCTAAGTGAAGAGAAATCATCACTGCTGGTAAGTATCCAGCTCATTTCCCACCTCTAAAATTGCCTATCAGTAAAACACCCCACTTCTACCTGCTGTATCTTCAAATGCTTTGGATACTACCACTGTGAAAATGGATGCTGCTTTTATTTTCACAGTGCTAAGAAGAGACTCACCTGCAAGTACAACTCCAAGCCTTGCCGTCGCTGCTCCAGAACCTTGGGGACCCAGTTTCTCACGTGCTTTGAAGGAATCTCTGGAGTTCTTATGAACTTCTTGAGCTGCAAACGAAAAGAAACAGAGACAGAAACAAAGTATAATAGTGTCCCTTTAAAGTAAACACATTTATGTTAGAGATGAGGCAGTACAGGTAAAATAACCACGCATAAAGTACAACACCACAGCAATGAAATTACTCACCATCAGCTCACTGAAATAACAGCAGACTTCATACCTACAGGTTGCAGTTAAAAATCTCCACATCTAGCTGCCCTGGACGGTGAAGAAGAACCCTACTAACAATTTCTTGTGATTTACAGCCATGAAACAAACCAGCAACCACTACATGAGAATACTTCAAATGAGTTCCCCATTAGTAAACCTGGGATGATACTTCACAACATCACCATGACGTACCCAGATATTACCTTGCTAAGTGCAGTGACAAAACACCACAATTTCTAATGCTAGATTTAGACAACAATGAACAGGTGGGAGAAGTACAGGGAGGGGATCTAACCATTTCTCTGTAGAGCTAGCAATCAAGAGAGCAAAATATCTGTGCTCTCAAATTGCACCAATAGATTGACAGTTGTGTTTATTATCTTATACAGAGAAATAGCAAGATTGCCACTGAATATATTTCCAAGAGAGCTCCTTAACTATTCCTCTAAAGATTCCCACAGGAAAGCTTTTATAGATATATACGGAAATGTGTATATGCATACACATGAGCGTATGTAGATAGACAAAAACATGTATTCTGACAACACTAAGAATCCTCTTGCTGAAGCAACGTATTTTTTCAAAACCAAAAAATATTAACATTTTCCTCAAAACTACAGACAAAAATAACAACTGGAATATACTCTACTGCATTTTAATAGAAGGTGACATTAGATATTCTTTCTGTTGGATATTGCCTCTGAGTAAATCCAAGGCAAAGAATGCAAGGAAAGAAACTCAAAATTGACTTTGACATGCACACCCGTGGGAGACTGAGAATTTACATTTCATCTTTGAGCTTGCTGAGATGTCACTGTAGGAAAAAGCAGTGCCAACATATCAACGTCTCTACAATCACAAGTAACGAAGCTGCAGCAAGGAAACCTCAATTGCTCTGGAAACATTTTGCAACTTCCTTATTTCTTAACAGTGCTAAAATACAATTAAACATGAAGTGAGAAAAACAACCCACCAAAACAAACCCCCAAACCCACGTACTTTTACTGACTGATCTTAAAGCCAGAATATAAAACCCCATTTTTTTTCTCTAAATTGGTCAAGAATGTTGAAGAAGCTACAGCCACAGCTGTTGCAAACTATGACAGCACCCGCAGATGAGTAACAAATGAGGAGAATGCTGCAGATGAGGGGAGACAAATCTGAAACAATACAAGCATTCACCAAGGCCTAGCTGCTTACAAGATAAATACTCTGTGGCTGGTACCTCAGCTGATGATTAACAGTCCTTTTGTGCTCTGTGGCCCTGTTATATAAAGCATCCAATAAACAATTGCTTAAAGCACAGGTACTGTGTGTAGGTATAGAGCACATGCTATACAGATGTACAAAGAATAAATTATAAGCCTGCTTTCTTATGCTTACATCAATCCAATAATATATTGCAACAAATAACTATTACAATGTCAAAGCATATTAAGCAAATCTACATATGTGTTAGCTGTATTGCTTCAGACCTGTCTCTACACAAGAAATATTTATCTGAGGACAATTATTGGCTATAATACCTTCCTGTCCATAACAGTGACCTAATCCCTATTTGACATACTGTAGTCTCTATTTCCTGCAAGGCTAAAAGATGGCTCAAATTCTCAAGTGAAGAATTATTTGTCCAAGTGCAAAAAGTTAATATGATTTAGAGGGTACACAAATTATTCTAAAGTTACAAAAAACTTGCAAAACATGTACAGAACTTAAGATTTTTGCAGATATCACTGCAGTAGTTGTAACACTGTCACATTCTAGCATTCTGGTGCTTAAAAAGAACTACCAATATTTAAAAATGTAAAGGGAAAAAAGTATAAAAAGGAATTAGGGAATAAATATGAATAAATGGTTGTATTTTTAACTGTTATATACATAGAAAGAATTTAATTTTTTCTAAAAAACTCTCTGTATGAAAATAATAAAACTTTTGTTCGAAGTTGAATACAATACTGTAATGTGAATGGTGCATAGCCTGAAAGGATTGGTTTGTTGTTCATAACCAGGTCAAAGTATAATGGCCCATGCAAACTATTTCAAAAGAGCCACCAGCAGTGCATGTTTTCTGTCAAGGGAATAATTTGTACTCCTGGTGTAGTACAGCAGTCTTGAAAAGATTTTAAACTTTTTCCACTACAGCCAGATTGCACAGGAAGTGGGGCTTTACTTTTTTACACAACTGGAATGTAAGAAAGGTTGAACCCAGGAAGGAGACAAATCCAGCCACGTTCTTGGAAACGGCTTTGTTTAAAAAAAAAAAAAAAGTTAATCAAAACATTAATTGGCATTCTGATGAATGAATAATGTCCTATATGAACAATGGAGTCCTCCTTCCTCCATACAACGCCAGTGGAGGATGTCCTTCTCCAGCGAAAGGCACAATCTCCAGCGAAAGGCACAATCTCCACTTCAGCCTCTATTCCTATTTTATACCACAGTTACTCTCTACAGCTGTTTCTCCTGCTCACTACAGACATCTCCAGCACTAAGGTCACCTTGAATATGCAGTAAGTCTAAAGATACCTTTCCAATTGCCATGTACTCACAGCAATTTAGAGTGAAACTTACATTATAAACTAAAGGGGAAGAGAGGAACAAAAAGAAATACCCTATTGGCACACTGAAAGCAAATTGGTATCTGGACCTGAGTATAAATAGAGTCATGGGATATGAACAAATTGTTCACAAAGAACAATCAAGATACAAGTTCAAAATACTCTTCTCTTGTAAAAACTGTTCAAGTACACACCCTGTTTTTTAAGAGCATTGATATTTTCTGCTGTAACACAAAACAGAGAGAAGAAAGGATGAAACCACATACTGTTATTACCAGAGAATGCTTTCTCCAGGATTTCTGCAACACTGAAAGCACAAAGAAAGGTTCAGAGCACAAGCTGTTCAACGATGTTTACTAAAATTTTACTACAACTTCAAAAAGTAAGACTTAAGAGGTATATTCTTGCCAAAATATGCTAGGTGCTTTGCATCTGTACATGGAACAAATAGGAAAAAGTCACCATCAAGTTTGCAGAGTAATATAAACAGACAGCAAGCAGATGAGTAAGATGAAACAAATTGAAGAGTGGTGCAATGTGTCTGGTTAGAATACCTGGTTTTCAGGTTTGTTTATTTTGCTCCTATTTCTGGAGAGAGAGAGAAAGGGACCATCATTTATGTTTTTTCTGGTGTCCTAAAGAGAAATCTCTGCAAAGGGATTTACTGCAGAGGAAGCAGTGTACAAGGAGACAAATCTGAGAGCAAGACTGCAGTCATTCATGATTTGTGTGTGGAGTAATTGTGCAATTCCAGAAATTACAGTGAAATTAGACAATAACAAAGGGAAGAGGAAAAAGCAGAGGCATTCAATGTGGTTTTAGCCTCAGTCTTTAATAACAGTAATAGACCTTGGGCTGCCCAGTTGCCCGAGTTGGAGGACCACGAGTGTGGGAACAGTGACTTTCCATTTGTGGACACTGAAATTGTAAGGGACCAGCTGTATCAGCTGAATGCCCACAAGTCCATGGGGCCTGATGGGATTCATCCCAGTATACTGAAGGAGCTAGCGGATGTTATGGCAGGACCCCTCTCAATCATCTACCAAAGGTCTTGGGAGTCTGGGGAGGTCCCTGCTGACTGGAAGCTAGCCAGTGTTACTCCAATTTACAAGAAGGGTATGAGGCAAGACACAGGGAACTACAGACCTGTTAGTCTAACCTCAGTTCCTAGAAAAATTATGGAGAAGATTACACTGGGTACTATTGAAAGGCATTTAAAGAACAATGCAATCATCAGGCACAGTCAACATGGGTTCACAAAGGGAAAGTCCCATTTAACTAATTTGATATTCTTCTATGATAAAGTCACCCGCCTAGTGGATGAAGGGAAGGCGGTGGATATAGTTTTTTCTGGATTTTAGTAAGGTTTTTTATACTGTTCCTCACAGCATCCTTCTGGACAAGTTGTCCAACTGTGGGATGAGCAGGTTGACAGTACGCTAGGTGAAGAACTCACTGAACGGCAGGGCTCAGAGGGCTGTAGCGAATGGGGCTACATCTAGCTGGTGACCAGTCACCAGCAGCGTTCCTCAGGGTTCAATGCTAGGGCCAGTTCTGTTCAATATATTCATAAATGATCTAGATGCAGGAGTTGAATGCACCATTAGCAAGTTTGCTGATGATACCAAACTGGGAGGTGCTGTTGACTCTCTCATGGGACAAGAGGCCTTGCAGAGGGATCTAGATAGATTGGAGTATTGTGAAATCATCAATGGCATGAAATTCAACAAGTCCAAATGGCAGATCCTGCACATAGGACAGAGTAACACTGGGCACAAGTGTAAATTGGGAGAGGAGTGGCTGGAGAGCAGCCCTGCAGAAAGGGATCTGGGGGTGCTAGTCAACAACAGGCTCAATATGACTCTGCACTCTGCCCTGGCAGCCAAGAGGGCAAACCACATCCTGGGGTGCATCAAACACAGCATAGCCAGCCAGTCAAAAGAGGTGATTATCCTGCTGTATTCAGCCTTGAGTACTGTGTGCAGTTCTGGCCCCCACAATTTAAGGACGTGAAGGTCCTTGAATGTGGCAACAAAGCCGCTGAAAAGGCTGGAAGGCATGTCCTGTGAGGAGCAGCTAAGCACTCTGGGTTTGTCTAGTGTTGTGGTTTAGCCCCAGCCAGCAGCTAAGCACCTTGCAGCCACTCGCTCACTCCCTCTACCCCCATGGGATGGGGGAGAGAATCGGAGCAGTAAGACTGAGAAAAACTCCTGGGCTGAGATAAGAACAGTTTAATAATTGAAATAAAGTAAAATGGTAATGATAATAATAATATACAAAGCAAGTGATGCACAATGCAATTGCTCACCACCCGCTGACCGATACCCAGACAGTTCCCAAGCAGCAGTTGCTGCCCCCCAGCCAACTCCCCCCAGTTTATATATTGAGCATGATGTCATATGGTATGGAATAGCCCTTTGGTCAGTTTGAATCAACTATTCTGGCTGTGCCCCCTCCCAGTTTCTTGTGCACCTGGCAGAGCATAGGAAGCTGAAAAGTCCTTGACTAGCACAAGCGGTACTTCACAACAACTAAACCATCAGTGTGTTATCAACATTCTTCTCCTACTAAATCCAAACCACAGCACTATGCCTGCTACTAGGAAGAAAATTAACTCTATTCAAGCCAAAACCAGGACATCTAGTTTGGAGAAATGGAGGCTGAGGGGTGACCTCACTGCTCTGTACAGCTTCCTGAGGAGGGGAAGTGCAGAGGGAGGTGCTGAACTCTTCTATCTGGGATTGAGTGACAGGACATGTGGGAATGGCTCAAAGCTGTGTCAGGAGAGGTTTAGATTGGACATTAGGAAGCATTTCTTTACTGAGAATGTGATCAAACACTGGAACAGGCTTCCTGGAGAGGTGGTTGATGCCCCATGCCTGTCAGTGTTTGAGACACATTCAGACAATGCCCTTAAAGCATGTTATTAACCTTTGGTCAGCCCTGAAGGGGTCAGTCAGGCAGGTGGACTAGATGACCATTGTGGGTCCCTTCCATCTGAAAACATTCTATTCTATTTTATTCTATTCTAACTACAGGAGACAGTCTACTTGGCTAGGGTGTGTTTTAAGCACATAACTCCTGATCTTCCCCTCTTAATGTTTCCTAACTTACTTAGTTGTATAATCTCTACTCACCTGCTTCACTTTCAATTGGAGGATTACTCTCAAATGTAAAATAAAGCACATGTATTGCAAGGCTTGGTAGTGGGTGAGTGAGTTGTACTACTGATTCTGACACTGTTGCTCATGTGGTATCATATTCAGTGTGAACACAAGGGGGAAAATATCTGAGACATATCTGAATTAAAACAATAAACAAGAAAATTAGTATTAAAAAGTGGCAGCTGATACCACAACTGCAGCAAGAAGCAAAAAGGCAAGAAATACTAGCACATCTTAATTATGGTGCAGTAAAGCAAAATATATTCTTGTTCTTTGGAGTTTTGAGGGCCAACACACAGATGGGTCAATAGGTGCCTTTTGTTGACCCAAGTTTGCTTGTACCAATACACCACATAAGGCTGGCAAAATCCATCTTCTTTGCCACCAGGATAATGCTTCTTCCCTGAGTAAGATGATTCCTGAGCTGATTCAGGGCCACCAGCAAACATGCTGGTGTGGGTAAGCTCCTCTGACACGGCAGTGGCAGGAGCTGTAAATGCCCATGCTCCTCTCTGCCATTTGCAGAGGAAGCTGTTCCACATTGAAGGCAAGCAGCACCAGTCAAAGCAGTTGAGTGTGCACACACTCTACTGCCACTGAGAGCTACAAACCAACAAATGTTCAGTTGAACCAGGTCCTAGGAATGAAGGACTGAAGCTCTTCATTGCAGCCCCACTGCTGGCAATGGGTTCCAGAATTCTCCTTCACAATATTTGGCCTCCATAAGGCAGAAAATAGGCAGAAAATAATGTAAAACTTGTCTTTCAGCTGCACAAGTTCTCCTACATCCAGTTCAGCCTGGAGAGGAGAAATCATACTCCTCCTTTAACAGTGATCAAACCAATTTAAAAAACAATTACTGGATAACCAATCTTGAAAGTACTGAGTTCCCTTCTATGTATTGTAATATGATTCATTAGAGAAGCTTAACAAATATTTTATATCACATTCATTGTATGAAGAGCAGCACAGTGAGATGGTCTACTCGGTCTTTTTCATGTCTAGTTTCCTGGTGTATACAAGTTGTTTCCTCAGCTTTACATATAGCAGGTTAGCAAGGCAATTTATAGAACTAACAGATTATTTGCCTAATTGGATAAAAACCCAAAATGTAATTATTAGCTATAGGAATGTGTCTTATTTTGTGATTTTACAAGAAGAAAAAAACATACTACAAACAGCATTTTAGTAATACAGCATGTAAATAATAATCAAAAAGAAAAGGAGAGTTAGTAACATCTGAGAAATCATCGTCCCTTTCCAAAAAATAGAGGAGAAACTGAGTTAGTTGGGAACTCATTTCCAGAGACATGAATCACAAGATGCATTTAAGATAAACCATGTATAGTAACAATTTCAAGAGAGAGGAAAACATCACAACTAAGGCAAAACAAAGTTACATCTTATAAAGAAAGAGATCACTACCTTTTTATGAAGTGCATGGAATTCACTATACCTCTTCTCCACAAAATGTTTCCTTCCACTCATTAGCACCTCTATTTTAAAGACCTGAAAATTATAAATGATAAAAAGGAGGTTAATGTACTTGCACAAACAGTTCTGTGACATGGCTGTGACTGCACATTTTAGCACGTTCATTCCAGTAGGTGGTCCCGAAAAACCCATGATGACTCATGAGGCGCAGAAGTACAATGATTAATGGGAAGTACGGCTGAATCTTCTGTTAACAAGTTTGTTCAACAAACATACAAAAAGAAAAGCTGGAATTGTATACTGTACATTGAAAACTAAGCATTAAAATATTCCCTTTCGGAAATATGTAATACATTTTGAAGTAGTTTAAAAGAAAAAGATTAAAACAAAGGATGGTAAGAACAACAAAAAAAAAAGATATAAAAGAAATAAAGATTAATTCTTTTTCCCTCTTACAATATGGCATACTAACACTCACACATGTTTGGTAAGAACTGGATAACAGATGCACTATGTTATGCATGGAAAAGGAGAAATAAATGTAAACACTGTATCATAGGTTAACTTCCTCCTAACCTACAAATTCAGCTGTAGTCTCAACTGAGCTTGTGCTACTATCTATACCCTAGGAAAAAAAAAACCCAAACATGGCAAATGCTTGTTTTCTTTGTATGATACATGTGACAGCTTTTGTTGCTGCCTCTGTAAGGTTGAAAGGCTAGGAGAAGCAGCTCTCTGGATCCACTAATTAGTAGTCACTAACATGACATTTTCTTGATTCTCAGGTCAGTGGGTCGGTTCTGAGGGCAAGTGATGAGAAATATTTTGAAGTACTCAAGAAAACACAGTCTATTAAATAAAGACAAGATCAGCAGAAAAGCAATATAGAAAAGGTGCCTGACCTGTCCAGGAGCTCTTTGTTTTCTGTTTTGCTCAGAAAATGCTGGAAATAATTATTTCCAGGACAATGACAGACAATGTTCAGGACAGATGATTACATCAAGACCCAAGACTTAGGCCAAATAAGAAGTTACCTGAAATAAATTTTTAAACAGTGTTTATGCCTGAATGCAGAAAAAAGGGGTTTCTGTCACAACTGACCAGCTAGCATTGATCAGAGCAAACATACAGAAACCATGCTGGATAAACACTTTCTATTGTCCACTAGAACCTGCCTTTCAATCAGGTCAAAATGCTATGGTTTTCACTGGTTAGCCACACCACATTAGAAACAGACAGCATTTTATTTAATCCAGACTGAAATCCATCTGCCTTTGTCTGAATGAAGTATGGATGGGACTGCAGTCATTTCACACCAATGTTTACATTACCAAAATTAGTTCAGATCATTGTAATCCATCAAAATAACTTGTGCTACATTCTACCTCTTTGAAAAGGACGATTTCTGTGTCTTAATCACTGCAAGCAGACAACCTTATTTGGGTGCATTGATTTTTTTTTTCTTTTCCCCCTATCTGTTTAGACTATTTTGGGAGAACAGGTATTGGCTATGAAACAATTTTCCTCTACACGTGAAAAAACTCCAAGGCACCCTTAGGAATACGTTGTAAGTTCAGAGTTGTAAAGAGAATCACATGCAAAGAAAAATCAATCTAGGCTTTTTTCTTTAGTTGAGACTTAACATCCTAATTATATGAGAGGAAAGCATTATTTACATCTTATATTCTACACACTGTATGAAAGAAATAGTTCTGCAAGGAACAGAATACTTTGGATTGTACAGGAAAGCCACTGCATTGAAGGAGCTTCAAGGATACCTTGGTGAAAAGAATGGATAACGGAGTATGAAATTAGTTAAGTTAGAAGTGACCATGAGTCACTAGTTAAGGTGTTGCAACAGTTTTGAATTAACTTGATATTAAATCTCTAGCAATTACAAGCAACTTATAACACCCACTTACACCTCAGTCAGCTAAGAGCCTCTGCACCACTGTTTAGTACCTTTGCTGGCTACAGGGTTTGCCAAGGAATTTGGAAGAGTCTAAGGGGCTCCTGCCTCAGCTACAAGCACTCCCTTGACAGGTAACTTTCTTATGAATCATGGTTTGGCTTGTGTAGTTCCATTTTAGTTTTAGTCATATATGTGCAACTTCAGAGAAACGTCTTGCCCTCTGAAGTCTATAAACCTGTCATTTCATAAAGGAGAATAGTTGGAATATGGGGAAGAAAGGAAATATAAATCCCTCTGTGGACCTTCTTGTCAAAGTATGTATCTATTTTGTTCTGTGTTTCATCACTGGTTAAGGAATTACAGAAATGGCTTCAGAACACCAAAAAGTATGCAGCATTTATTTAGCTTCCTTTTTAATCTTACTGAAGTTTTAATTACTGTTTGCATAATTTTTGCTAACAAGATGACACTAAAGAATATATTTGCCAGTCACTTTCACAGAAGACATGAGAAGAAAGAACCACAGCTTCCCGTGCACAGTGATGTCATTTCGAAAGCCACAAATCTGCTACCTTTACACCCTCAACTGTTTGTACCAGTATAGAGGCTTCAACTTTGCCTCCTACCGTCCAGAGCCCTTGGGTCCAGCTTTAGCAGCCATCTAAAATTTACAAAGCTGGACAACACATCGGCTATGCATGAAGTTGAAAATTACTATTTGAAAACAAACCCTGCAAATGGCATTTCTAATCTACCACTGTGGCACCTGTATTTCAGAAATGTAAAGCAATTTGTAATAAATAAGTAGAAAATCTTTAAATGTTTTTGTTTAATACAAATCTAAAAATTAAATTGATTTACAAAGTACCTTATAAAGCAGAAATGCAAGTAAGTGAAATAACACATATTGTGCTTATGAACTTCGTATTATTAAATTACTGCATCAGACAGCGTAAATTCCAGGTTTGCCTCCTCACTGTTTACCAGATCACAATTCACAAGAGCAAACTAAAGGCACAGAAGTGAGTTTCTGTGTCACTATTTTGTATAATGACATGGCTTTGTGTGAAAGACAGAAAGATACACTAGCTTACGAGAGAGACAGGATCTCTTCATGGATTCAAGATAGCTATAGACAAATCTCACACAAATTTAACTGAGCAATTGCAGGCCCTGACAGAAAAACAATGTAAGGAAACTGGTGAACATAGGTGAAAGTGCCAAAATAAAGACGGAAGAACTATGGGGAAAAAAATGCAACACTGCAAGGAAATTACTTTTCTTGTAAAAATGTTCATGTTCTATGAACAGATAACTCTGAAAAGACGTATGACGTTTTATAAGTGACAGTTAGTTAAGTGAAAAATGCAACAATTAATCACTGAATAAGACAAGTAAAATACTTTTCCCATAGTCATTGAAATACCAGAAATTACACCGCACTGAAAGATTTGCAGTTCATCCTGACTAGGACACAAGGGACCATAGATATGAAGACACCAATTAGAAAACTCTTTACGAGTAGTCTGAAACTAAAGATGATTCACCATTCGTGTTTACTACCACAACAGTCATCAACAATGTTTGCACAAAGCCAGAAGATCATTATCCATTAAAAGCATTCTTCCAACAGAATTTAACCCACATAAATGATGTATGGGACAAACACCTTTGGACTGGGTATCAGTATGAATGATGTTGATCTTTTGCCTAGCAGAATTGCAGAACTGCCACTGCAATTTATAACCATCAAACCTGTGAAGGAAACTCTTAAAGAAGAATTCCTAAGGTTTTCGTTAATAAGATAGTAAAAACTCTAAGATCCAATTACAAAACAGCTTTACATGTGATTTTTTTAAAAAAGCAAACCACTTTTTTGCCTCTCTCATTTGCCTCCACTTTGTTCCAATGATATGGATTATATTCAGTTCTTGGAAACCATTTTCTTCATTTCTTATTGTTAGCAAATATGCCTAATTTTGCCATTTTCCTCAATTTACCCATTTCTGATCATTAGCTAACCTCTAACTGAATGATCCTTTTTCACTGTTTTCAAGAAGAATACTTACATTTCTCTTCTTGCTGCAGAAACCAGACAGTACTACATATAACTAAATAGGATTACATATGGGTAAACAATTGGTACTCTATGACTGTGAACTTCCAAGAGAGAAAGCACAAATGGAAGAAAAATGGGAACAATAAGACATATAAGAACCACCCATGCCCTCCTGTAAGTGACCACTGTTCTAAGTGCACATCAAGAACTGCATGGTAAATAACACTGATACCGCCCGCCCCCCAGTTCTTAACTATGTCAAATGCTTATACTGGATGACACCAAGTTGGGTGGGAGTGTCGATCTGCTCGAGGG